CATCTCCTCTGTGGCCACTGTGGAAAGAGTTTGGCGCGCCACAAAAAGTTAACCATACAGCTGAAACCGGTTTGGCTCAGTGGATAGAGTGTCAGCCTGTGAACTGAGGGATCCCGGGTTCAATTTCGGTCAGGGGCATGTGCCTTGGTTGTGGGCACATCCCCAGTGGGGGGGAGGGGGGGTGTTTGTAGGGGGCAGCTGATCGATGTTTCTCTCTCATCGATGTTTCTGATTCTCTGTCCCTCTCCCTTCCTCTCTGTAAAAAATCAATAATATATATATATATATATATGTGTATATATATATTTTTTTTAATTAAAACATAGAATTACCATATGACCCAGGTATTGCACTCTTAGATACCCAAGAGAACTGAAAACAGGGACTCAAACAGATGCTTGTACATATATGTTCATAGCAGCATAAACAAAAGGTGGAAATAAGCAAAAGGTAGAAACAACCCAAGTGTCTATGAACAGATGATGGATGAATAAGCAAAACGTGGTATATATACAACAGAATATTATTTGGCTATAAAAAGCAATGAAGTTCTAATACATGATTCAAACTGCATGAACCTTGAAAACATTAAGCCAAGTAAAATAAACCATTTACAAAAAGGACAAATGTTGTATAGTTCCACTTATATGAAACATCTAGAACATGTAAATTCACAGAGACAGAGAGTAGACTACCAGGGGACGGATGAGATGGGGATAGAAAGCTATTGCTTAAGGAGGACTGAGTTTCTGTTTGAGCTGACGAAAAGTTCTAGAAACGGTGGTGATTACTGCACAACACGATGAAGGTGATTAATGTCACTGAATTGTATACTTCAAAATAGTTAAAATGGAAATTCATATGTTATTTATTTTTCCACAAATTTTTAAAAATCACAAAATATGACAGCAATAGTGTAAGAGTAGACATATGGATCAGTGAAACAGAACAGCAAGCCTCAAAGCAAAGTAGAGTGTTCAGGTGGTACTTATACAATGGAAAAAGTTCTCATAGGGAGTGAAGGAATTCAAATGTAAAAAAGCAAAAGGCCAAACATTATAAATACAGAAAAATCAGTTTATAACTTTAGCAATGAGAAGAGCTTTTTGAGCAAGGTATAAAATGGCACCATAATTTTCCCCCCCCTGTGGCAGCAGTCTTTGAACTGAACAGTCTGGCAGGATGTAATCAGTTTTTATTTTTTTATTTTTATTTTTTTATTTTTTTATTTTTTTTACAGAGAGGAAGGGAGAGAGATAGAGAGCTAGAAACGTCGATGAGAGAGAAACATTGACCAGCTGCCTCTTGCACACCCCCTACCGGGGATATGCCCGCAACCAAAGTACATGCCCTTGACCGGAATCGAACCTGGGACCTTTCAGTCCGCAGACTGATGCTTTATGGCTGAGCCAAACCGGTTTCAGCTGTAATCAATTTTTAAATACACATCTCCTCTCACCCCTGGGCATCTCCAGCTTAGAGAAACGCACAAGCTGTATGTGAGGGCATTCCCTGAGCATTGTTCCTAAGGAAAAAGCAAGGGCAACTGAAATATTGAAGAAATTTGAATCAAGCTAAACTTTAATTCTAAGGAATAACTTCCTGGATCACTCTAAATGGCTTTGGTGGCCAGCTTACCAGCCTCTTCCTCATTTTCTTTAATTTTATTGATTTCCTACAGAGAGGAAAGGTGAAGGACAGAGAGCCAAAAACATGAGAGAGAATCATCTATCAGCTGCCTCTTGCACACCCCCCACTGGGGATGTGCCCGCAGCCAAGGTACATGCCCTTGACCAGAATCGAACCTAGGACCCTTCAGTCAGCAGGCTGACACTCTATCCACTGAGCCAAACTGGTTTGGGCCTCTTCCTCGTTTTCAAAGGATTCTGCAGGTGAAATACACATCTGCTCAACTCCATAACAGCTACGTTGTGTGATGCCATTTGAAGAGCTGCTAGACTTGAGAGAAGGGTTTGGAATGTCCTCCCCCAGCAGCTTAACTCTGGGGTAGAGAAAGTCAGAAAGAGGCAGCTAAGTTGGTGTACTGGTATTTGTGTATGCAGTAGGGGTCAAGGGAGGGAAGGAGTTAGGGGAAAAATATAAAAAGAGCAAAAAGGAAGCTAAGGCAGGGCTGTGTGAAGGTTAAAGGGGCCATACCAAAGTGCAATAAAATTCCAACCACTGGCCAGTCATTTACGGGCAGAGATGCATCAAGTATATCAATATGTCCTGCAGCTTTCAGCAATTTAGGTCACTTTGTCTCCTCCTACTTCTGGGCGGTCCCAGGGCTGAAACTGTAGATTAGGGGTGTCGAACTCAATCAGAGAAGGGGCCAAAATCTAAAATCCAGCCTAAATCGCGGGCCGAATGGTTTACTGAACAGTCATAAACTGTCATTGTGATGGAAACGCAGCGGAGTGCAGTGATGACAGCGCGGTGCGGGCCACATTGCAAGGCCTGGCGGGACGGATTTGGCCCGCGGGCCTTGTGTTTGACACATGTGCTGTAGATCATTCATGGAGGATCCTGTGTTATAATATGTCAAAGTAGGGCAGGCTTGCAAATGGCTTCCCCACAAATCCCGAAGTCTGCACAAATGTTCGGCTTTGGTTTCACTGAGTGTCCTAGTGTCCCCCAGGTTGGTGCCCACCTCACTCCACTCCTTCCCATCTCAGGAAGGGGAAGGGACCTGCATCTTCTGAGCACCCGTTGTCCTATTTCATCCTCACATTACTGTAATTAGAAAGGTAAGCAATGTGCCCAAGGTCACCCAACTACCCAGGTTCAGCATCAGAATCTAGGTCTGTGTATGTCTAAAAGTCATGTTCTTCCCATTAGCTGATTCAGCTGCGGAAGCTCTTATAGATTAAACACTCTATGCAAAAATCTGTTAAGTGTTCCAAGGGATATAAAATAAGCCAAATCCTGACCTCAAGATAGCCTGTGTTCTGGAGAAGAATAAAAGCTACAGCACATGGTGAAAGGACTACCATGTCATAGCTGATGTGTAAGAGGGGAGTTACTAGAATGCTACAGCGGTCATGAGCAAGGAGAGGACACAACAGGTAAAGAAAGACCAAGACAAAGAATGTTTGAGGATGCCCTGGCTGGGTAGCTCAGTTGGTTGGAGTGTTGTCCTAATATGCCAAGGTTGCAGGTTCCATCCCCAGTCAGGGCACTTACAAGTGGCAACCAATGAATTCATAAATAGGTGGAAAAGCTAATCAGTTTCTTTCTCTCTCTCTCTCCCTCCCTCCCTCCCTCCCTTCTCCCTCTCCCTCTCCCTCTCCCTCTCCCTCTCCCTCTCCCTCTCCTCTCCCTCTCCCTCTCCCTCTCCCTCTCCCTCTCCCTCTCCCTCTCTCTCCTCTTTCATCAATTAAAAAAAGAAAAAAGAATGTTTGGGATATGTCCAGAAAATAGCAGAACCAACATGTGGTTTGTTGTTGTTCTTGAACTCTCTCCTTTGTGTCCTTAGGAATCCCTCAAACCATTATAAAACAACTACAACAATAATAAACCAATATCACCAAACCAACACAAAGAACTCCCCTATCCTCATAGTCTTTTTAGCACCTTCTCTCCATCTCCTTGTTATTACAGGTAATGTGGAAAGTGTCAAGAAAAAGACCAAGAACAGAGAATCAGGAAACCCTCCATCTAGGATGGGAGAAGCAGACAAAGCTGGAACCCAAGAAAGCACAAAGAGACAACAAGGGAAGAGAAGAGAAGGACTGGGGCTGCCCTAAAAGGAGAGGAGTTGGCCAAATCCTGTAGGGAGATCCCTGAGGATGAGGACTTGGGGGGAAGAGAAGAAAAGGCACTAAAATTGCTGGTTAGGTTTCTAATGCCACTTGGGGAGCAGCTGTCACAGAGTGACTCAGGCCTAAGTCACTGAGTGACTGGTGAGAGGTGGCAAGAGGGAGGCAGGGAGGTGGACTTCTCTTTGGAAAAGGCTGGTGGTGAAGGGCAGAGCATCACAGGAAGTTCTTAAGGGATGGAAAAATCCAAAGGAGGCAGTAAGGATGGAAAAATTTGCACATGCTCGTAGGCAGAGGGATGGAATGGGTAGGAACTACAACAGAAGAGACATGGATGACTGAGTGAGGTCTCTGAGGAGCAGATGGGCTCAGGGGAGCCTGTGGGTAGGGAAGAGGAGGGAGACTATATTCAATGACGTTATGGTGTATGAAATAGGACATGGAGAGCTGAATCACTTTAGAGGGTCTCCAGCTTCTCAATAAAGTTATCTCCAGAGAGGAGAGAAGGAGAGAGGATGAACCAAGAGAAAGTAGCATTGTGGAAGCTAAGGTGGGTTTTCAGATAGTAAGGGATGAATGGTGAGAAGGGGCAACAATGAGCATAGACTCTTTTTTTCAAGAGCATAAAAGGAAAGAACATCAGCCGGGACCGGTTTGGCTCAGTGGATAGAGCGTCGGCCTGCGGACTGAGGAGTCCCGGGTTCGATTCCGGTCAAGGGCATGTACCTTGGTTGCGGGCACATCCCCAGTAGGGGGTGTGCAGGAGGCAGCTGATCGATGATTCTCTCTCATCGATGTTTCTAACTCTCTATCCCTCTCTCTTCCTCTCTGTGAAAAATCAATAAAATATATTAAAAAAAAAAAAAGGAAAGAACATCAAAGCAGAGAGGAAAAGGGGGCAACTATACAAGAATAAAGACACATTTAAAAAATAAAAAAAGGAAAGAACAGAGGGAAGCACCTGAGGAAAAGGCAGGTGGGACAGAAGGTTTTAAAGGTTGGCAGGAGGGACACATGCACATATTTACAGGATGAGAGGATGGGTGGGACTGGAAATTACTGAAGACACGAGAGAGAATAGGGACAATAACAGAGACACCAGTATGGAAGGCCAAGCTTCCCACAGCGTCCTGCAGCCTGACCACACCCGCAACCCAGTCAGTGCAAATCCCCAACTTTTCTCCCATGAACGACCACAGTCATCCTTGCCCACCTGATACCTGCATGCCTGTTGTTTTTGTAATGCAGCTACAGGCACTTCCACTTGCCCTGATTACATTTCATAAAACTGTCTTTATGACCATCTGTTCTGGTACAAAGACCAAGAAAACATTAAACTCCGGCTGTTGTTTGCCAAGTTCCCTTTCGGTTCAGTTGCACCGAAGGTATGTGCTAGGCTGTGTGAAGAACAAGACGCAGTCCTTGCTGTCAACACGCTTCTAGTGCCGTGGGGGTGCAAACACAATAAATCACTTTAATATTGTGGGAAGTGCTCTGAAGGAAGGAAGTGGGATGTTCCCCACTACCCCAGAATTCGCTCGTCGGACCTAAGGGTGGGGCCCACGTAGGGATATGTGCTCCCCATTCCAGAGTCAGGTGGCTTCCTAAGAGGCAGCCAGACCACCAGGCTGCTCGGCAAAGCACTTAGGTCGTGCAGAACGCTAGGACTACCCAGAGTGGGGGCCACTTACCCAGCCTAGGCCTCCGGGGCAATGATGCTGAGCTGAGTTTTGGAAGGTGAGCAATAAGAGGTCCAAAGAAGTAGGGTGGTAAGTGTGTGGAAGAAGTGGGGTAGTTGTGTGACATAAAGTCCAAGGTGAGGAATGCTGGCAGGTGGGTCTGGAGAGCTGGGCAATCAAGGGTCATGGAGGAAAGAGCCTAGCATTACAAGACTATCCTGAAAGTCTGTGACTCAAATGGACTAGGAAAGCTTTTCCAAATTACAGGTGTAATTCCCTCACCAACCAGGGGGTCCTTACACACTGCTTACTGCAGTGGACGATACAAGGGAAGAGGCAGGTGGTCAGTGAAAGGTGTTTGGCAGGAGACATGAGCAGGTTTGTGTTTTAGAGGCACCACTGGCAGCTAGGCGGAGGGCCCTCCAAGGTCAAGTTGAAAACAGGGATCAGTGAAGTCCCGGCATGAAGTGATGAGGCTGACCCTGAGCAGTCAAGGACGGAAGGAGAGGGGAGAACAGAGTGAGGATATATCTAGGAGGTAGAACCCAGCAGGATGTGGTAATAAACGGGGTGAGAGTGCAGCACTGGTGGGCCAAGGTGACTTCTAGTTTTCTGACTCAGGTAATCAACGGTCCTACCAAGGCAAGACGGGATGTGTTGGCTTCACACAGGAGAGACACCTTCCATGTTAACAGGTGGGAGAGGGAATGGATGGGCTTGAGTTCAAATACATTTAAGGTTCTGTGATAGGAAGATGAGAGCATTTGTACCTGGTGATTCTGGTTTTCTGTGTGAAGGGGAAGATAAGCAAGCAAGGAGGGATGGAGTTGGAGCTGTGAGGAGCAGGAAGGTCTGAAGTAGTCACTGTTGAGAAAGGGTGTGAGAGCACAAAAGAGGTTCACCGAGCGATGATGGAGGCCCAGGTGAATGTGGAAGCTGTTTTGTCTTGATTTTTAGTATCTTTTCGTATACTAAAGCTTTCAATTTTTATGTAATCAAAGCTATCAACTTTCCTTTTATAGCTTTATGGCATGCTTTAAAAAGCTTTCCTGTACATGGCAGTTTAAAACAAAAACAACAAAACAAGGCAGGGCCATGTGTGCTAATATAAACAATATCTAAGATATATATTAAGCGAAATAGGACAGCAAGTCCACGTCGACTATATGCTTCAGACACACAGACTGGTCAGGAAGATTATACAAGGAGCTGCCTCTGGGGAGCTCAGTGGTTAGAGTGGGTGTTATGGAAGCCATAGGCAAGGGAGGAGAGGATCTGAGTAAGATGGACTCAAGGCAAGGACACCACGGGCCATGGGAGAGGGAGCAGCCATGTTTCATAGAGCAAGTCCTGATCCCAAGAAAAGAGATCGCCCGGGATCAGAGGAGAGTACATAGTACATACGATAGGGCATATTTTGCATGAACGTTTGAATGAACCTCTCCTGTATTAAGGTACAAAAAGGTTAAGTGGCATTCACAAGGGCACACAGGATGTTGCCTTCGGTTCTAGGGCCTCATTAACCTTCACCAGTATGCGATGCCACTTCTCACAAAGGCATGCTAAGTGGAAAAGTAGGACACAACTCTGTTTATAGTATGAGCACAGTTTGTACAGATTCTAAAAAATATATGTGTGTATATACATATGTGTGTGTATATATTTATAGGCAGTATGTTTTTAGGAAGAGATCAGTAAGATATACACTAAAATGTTAGCAGTAGTTATCTGAGTGGGATTTTTAAAATGTTTTTTCTAGATTTTCTACAATTACCACTTATATTAACATAAAAAAGGTTATTTAAAATAGTCACTGGAATGGGCAAGCATCAAAGACATTTTATAAAAATAGACTTTTTGGAAAAAGATACATTGGCAACATACTCTAAGAATTCGAATAAACAAAAAAAGTATTCTGCTTGATTCATAGAGTAATAGTGGAAAGAACGTGAGATTTAGAAGACCTGCTTCAGGCTACTTAGAAAAGTGTTAACCCTGTAAGCCTCCATGTCCTTATATAAAATGAATGTGATAATAATAAAACTTGTTTCACACGGTTACTATACAGACCAAGTGAGCCAATAAAGATTAAAAAAAATACCTGCCAATTAAACCATGTAAGTTTAATATCATTATTAATTCTACCCTCTTCTCTTTTATGAATGCACTGGCAGATAACTCGATTCAAAATTAAATTGTGATTGAAAATCCAATGCCAATTCTTAATTAATTAGCGACTTTGGTTTCATAAGACAAACATTCATTAAAATCAGGCTATGGCTTAAATTATTGAGCCATAATAATAGAATGACTATCTCAAGTTGCCTCATATTCCAACTCAAAAATCATTGTTGTGTGCAATTCAAGAAGACTGCTTCCCTGATCAGAAGCCCTCATGCCCAGACCCAGGGTTCCAAGGTCTTTCTAGAAGCCAAGGCCATGATCTCCGCTTGCCCACAGCTGTGTGAGGCTTCCAGCCTCCTCTGCTCACAATGATACATGATTCTTTCCATATGAAGCCAAAAGACAGACCTAATTTTCTAAAATGCCTCCTCTTATAACCCACATACCTTCTTCCCTCCTGCCTCACTGCAGAGGTGCCCTCTTCTTGCTGAGGCCAGCCTCTTCGATGGATTCCTGTCCTGGGCCTTCTCGCCTTTTAAAGGCATCATTCCCTTGTGCCCTAGAATCAGTTCATCCCTAGATGAGACTGAAACAACCTCCCAGTCTCCACTCTTGCCCACCTACTCCATCCCTATATGCAGCCAGAATAATCTTTTTTTTTTTTTTAATTTTAAGTTGAGATAAAGCTCAGCCGGCCTGGCTCTATCAACCTATGAGCCTGGAGGTCATGGTTTGATTCCCAGTCAGGGCACATGCCTGGGTTTTGGACTTGATCCCCAGTAGGGGGTGTGCAGGAGGCAGCCGATGGATGTTTGTCTTTCGTCATTGATATTTCTATCTCCCTCTCCCTTCCTCTCTGAAATCAATTAAAAAATATTTTTTAATAGTTGATATATAATTCATATACCACAGAATTTACCATTTTACATTCCCATCAGCAAAGTATGAGAGTTTTGATTTCCTTGATGGGACTGTTAGGCCCAAGGGGATGATGGTGTTTAAGTCTTTGATCCCTCTGGAGTTCATGTTTTGTACGTATGAGGGAGGGCTCCAACTTCATCTTTTGCATATGGATATCCAATTGTCCCGGCACCATTTATTAAAAAGACTATTCTTTCCCCATTTAAATGGTCTGGGTGCCCTTGTTGAAAATGAACTGATCATAGATATATGGGTTTCTTTCTGGACACTCAATCCTATTCCAGATCTATATTTCAATCCTTATGCCATACCACATTATCTTAATTACTGTAGATTTGTAGACAGTTTTGAAAGACATGTCTTTGTAGACGATCTTCATTTTACAATCCCAATAACAATCTCCATTTGCAAAATCCAAAGAACACCCCCCCCCCCAGAGATCCCATCTAATAAGAGCTTGTATTTTGTTTTTGCTTGTTTGTTTTTACCCAAGGATATTGATTTTCAGAGAGAAATATAAATGTGAGAGAAACACATTGATTGGGTGTCTCCTGCACATGCCCCAACCAGGACATGGGCCGAGGAGGAGCCTGCAATGGAGGTTCGAGGTACGTGCCCTTGACCAGAATTGAACCCGGGTCTCTTTGGTCTTCAGGCTGACACTCTATCCACTGAGCCAAACTAACTAGGGCTAGAGCTTGTGTTTTGGGTTATGTTTTCCACAGCTCATACTCTGATATGTATGAAACTCTTTCCTTGTTCTCCATGGCACCAAGCATTCCTTGTCTTCCTTTTTCTTTTCATTTTTGCTTCCTTGGCTAGCTTCTTTTCAACCTGTGTGGTAGATGTTGGGGAACTCAGGACAGGTGAAGACCCCCTTGGTCCTCTGCACTCTCTCCTTCAGTCTCCTCCTTCCCCATGCCTCCAGGGCAGCAGTTTCATCGGGATGTCAACAAAACTCCCAACTCTCTGACCTCCAGAGGTTTAGCAATATTTACAGTGACCTCAGACTTCACATGTCCAAATCCACCCCTGACCATTCCTGCAAACCTGATCAATAACACCACCGTGCTTTTGGTTGTGGCCAAAGCCAGAACCCTGAGAATACTCCTTGACTATGCTCTTTCACCCTCTAACCAATGACCAAGTCCTGGCAACTCGGTTTTTTAAATTCCTCATCCACTTCTTTCCTGTCTCTGTGGTCACCATCCTCATTTTCCTCACTGACTTCTCCCCTCCACCCCGCCCCATCCTATACTTCACAATGAAATCTCCCTTTAATCCATCCTACCACCTCATTCAAATATTTATGGGGTCACAACTATATGCCAGAAGGATCTTTAAAAAGTACATATACAATCATAACATTCCTCTGCTTCAAATCCTTTGAAAGTTTTCCATCGTCCTTAGGATAAAACATAACACTATCAACAAAGTCTCAAAGCCCTGTACACCTGCCCTGTCTCTTCAGCATCACATCAAGACACTTATTCCCTCCTTGTCTGCTGCAGAGGCACTCCACACCGTTCCTGGAATGAGCAGCATCCAGCTTCTGATCTTTGCAACCTCTGCCTGGGATGTTCTTCTCGACCTCCTCTTCCAGCCAATTCCTGGTCTTCCTTAAGATCTTGGCTTGAACCTCTCTTCCTGCTGTCCCTTGACCAGGGTGTTTCTCCTATTATTCATGCCACAGCACCTGTTCTTTTTTTATGGCCACAGCATGCCTATCATCAAATGTTGGACATCCATCCACCCACCGGACTCATGAAGTTGGCACCTGGTCCCATCTTGTCCACCCACCATATATGCCAGCAATGCTGGCACAAGCTCTTCTCATGGTGAGAGATTAATAAATACCTACCACATAAATAAGTTTAAAAGGCTTGAAAGTGATTTATCTAGCCACCACCCTCGTTTTACAGACAAAAACACCAAAACAAACAAATAAAAAACAACAACTGTAGCCCAGAGGAATATTCCTATTTCCCAGGAGACCAGAGTGTTAGCTGTTTATGCAGGATTTTGACCTTGGAATGCTTAAGGAGGCCTTAATAGAGACACATACATACTCCAAAATACACCTGCTAGGAAATTCATAAACAGGAGCCCACTATTCTGACATGTTCCCACCTTCTCCCCTGATAATGTTTCCCAAATAGCTGCCCTGGAGAGATTTTACTATTAATCCATTCTCGCTCTGCTGGTCAGCCAAGGGCATGGTATGATGGCACAGGGCATTCTCTTCAAGGACGTAAGGAGTGAGACAGAGGATAGCTCCAAGAGGCAAACATTAATATTCATCATTCACTTGAGATTTATGAAGGACCTGGAGGTGCTGAGGCCCTAGCCTGGGGCACTGCAGAGGATCCAAGCATGAACCAAATGGGGTTGTTTGACCAAATGAGCTGTAAAGGTGTCCTCTGGCCCCCAAAGGTGGTGCCTGTGCAGTTCCTGGGCAGGGGCTTCTCTGGGGAAAAAGCATGGAAGATGACTCTGATAGCTGTGACCACGCTGGCTTCCTCTCAGGTTTGGGGGACAGATGGATAGGACAGCCGAGTGTGTGCCTATGCACGTGTGCATGTGCAGATGTACCTCAGGGAAGCTGGAGGGGGAGGGGGAAAACCAGGCTGGAGGAAGAAATGACACCGCTAGGGGCCTCTATGTTTCTAGGATGAAGGAGAGGCATCTTGAGGGTCTAAGCCCCTGGAAGTGCAGCTTGTGGAGGTCCAAAGGTCATGGGCATCTGAGCACCATCCTCTGTCCCATCCTTACCTCCTAGTGTTGTGGGGAAAAAATAATACCGGCTCCTATTTTTAAA